CAGAAGGAGAACAAAGATCAGATGTGATGATGATAAGTATCTTAATGCAGAAGGTATGGGAAATGTCAGAGTCAGAGAGAAGAATGGAAAAAACATTCTGATCAAAGATGTTTGGTATGTTCCTGAAATTAAAAGCAACCTCTTAACGTTGTATGATTCTAATCAGAAGTTGATTATGAAGTCTGAGCATGGAAGCAACAGAACATTCAAAGTGAATGTAGAAACAATTGAAGTAGAGTGTCTTAGTGCAGAAGGCGCTGAAGGTGACAGTAAGCTGTGGCACAAGAGGTTGGGGAACTTGAACTATAGAAGCTTAGGGCATCTAAGTTCTAAGAAGCTTGTACATGGCATTTCGAAGATTGTGAAGCCTCAGAAGTTATGTGAGATATGCATGAAAGGCAAGCAACCCAGATTGCCATTTGCATCAGAAGTAGCGCCCAGAGCAAAGCATGCTTTGGGAGTAGTAAATTCTGATGTGTGTGGACCATTCCCAGTATCTTCACTTAGAGGAAACAAATATTTTGTGTCTTTTATAGATGAGTTCACAAGAATGACATGGGTAACACTCATCAAGTTCAAGCATGAAGTGTTTACTGAGTTCTAGAAGTTTAAGGTGAAGGCTGAGAAGTAGAGTGGTCAGAAGCTGAAGATTTTGAGAACGGATGGTGGAGGTGAGTATAACTCTACAGAGTTCCAGAAGTTCTGTGAGGAGAATGGAATAGAACATGAGGTTACTGCTCCATATACTCCTCAACACAATGGTCTTGCTGAAAGAAGAAACAGAACTTTGCTTGATATGACCAGAAGTATGCTAAAAGAGAAGAAGCTACCTCACATGTTATGGGGAGAAGCTATTGCCACGTCAGCATATGTTCTGAATAGGTGTCCAACGAAGAAGCTGAAGAAAATTGTTCCTTTAGAAAAGTGGACTGGAGACAAGCAAAGTGTTATCCATCTGAGGGTGTTTGGTTCTGTATAAACACATTCCAGAGGCTAGAAGACGAAAACTGGATAATAGAAGCAAAGTAATGTTACTGGTGGGGTACCATAGTACATGTGCCTATAAGCTTTATTGTCCAGAAACCAATAAAGTTGAAATCAGCAAAGACGTTATTGTGAAAGAGTCAGAAACATGGGATTGGAACAAGCTTCAATTAGATTCTGGTGTAGCGCCAACACCAAAGTTAGTTTCTGAAGATTCTTCATAAAGTTCTGAAGACAAGTTAGAGTCAGAAGATGAATCTGAAGACTCTGAAGATGTGTCAGAATCTCATATGATTCTGATCCAGATTCTAATGATGATCCAGAATCTTGTGGTGATTATAATTTTGGAAGGGAAAACTCTAAAGACATAGGGTCTGGAGGACAAGCTTCCAGAAGTAACTCTGAAGGTGGTAATTCTGAAGGAAGTAGTTCTGGACAAGGTCCAGAAGCTAGCATTGTTCTGAGTTCTGGAGAAGCTCCAGAACAAGTTCAGAGGCCACAAAGAATCAAACGAATACCAAGTAGGTTTGCAGATTTTAGCATGTTGCATGATACTGAAGTAGATTTTGAAGGAGAAGTCGTTCAGTGTGCCATCTTAGTAGATTTTGAACCAGTGTGTATTGAAGAAGATCTCAAGAAGAAAGTATGGTTGAATGCCATGAAAGAAGAACTTAAGGCTATTGAAAGAAACAAAACTTGGAAGCTGACGAAGCTTCCAGAAAAGAAGAAAGCCATCAGCGTCAGATGGGTTTTCAAGGTGAAGCGTAAGCCAGATGGATCAATTAGCAAACACAAAGGAGACTAGTGGCTAGAGGTTTTCTTCAGAAACCTAGGCTAGATTACTTTAAGGTGTTTGCGTCTGTAGCTAGACACGAAACAATCAGACTGGTGATTGCTTTAGCTGCAAACAGAAATTGGCCTTTGATACATCTGGATGTGAAGTCTGCATTTCTGAATGATCCGTTACATGAAGAGGTATATGTGTCACAACCTCTTGGGTTTGTGAAAAAGAATCAGGAAGAGATGGTATACAAGTTACATAAAGCCTTGTATGGACTGAAACAAGCGCCCAGAGCTTGGAATATGAAAATTGATTCGTTTTTCAAGAGGCGGAAGTTTCAGAAATGTGAGATGGAATATGGCGTGTATGTACAGCATTCTGGTAGCAATATGATTCTGGTGTGTCTATATGTTGATGACATATTGCTAACAGGAAGTTGTCCAGAACATATAGTCAAGTTCAAAGAAGTTCTGATGAATAAATTTGAGATGACAGATCTGAGAAATATGGTATATTTTCTATGAATGGAGATTTTGTACTCAAAAGAAGGGTATCATTCTACATCAGCTGAAGTATGAACTTGAACTTCTGAAGAGATTTAAGCTGCAGAATTGCAAATTTTCTGTGACACCATCAGAAACCAATCATAAATTGGATTCTGATTTTGATGGTGATTATGTGGATGCTACAACCTTCAAGAAATTGGTTGGTTCTCTTAGGTACTTGTGCAATACCAGACCTGACATTTGTTATGCAGTTGGAATGGTTAGCAGATTCATGAGTAAACCAAAGTGGTCTCATTATCAAGCTGCTGTCAACATTCTGAGGTATATCAAAGGAACTCTGAAATACGGAGTGTTATTTCCTTCTGAAAGACACACAAAACCAGAATTAGTGAGTTATTCTGATTCTGACTGGTGTGGAGACAGAGTTGACAGAAGAAGTACTTCTGGTTACTTGTTCAAGTTTCTGGGAGGTCCAATTTCTTGGAGTTCCAAGAAACATCCTGTTGTGGCTCTTTCAATGTGTGAAGCTGAATACATTGCAGGTGCTGTAGCTGCATGTCAAGTTGTTTGGCTTCTGAATCTTCTGGAGGATTTGAAGATTGAGATAAAGAAACCTCTGAAGTTGTTGATTGATAATAATTCTGCAATCAATCTTGCCAAGAATCCAGTGCTGCATGGAAGAAGCAAGCATATTGAGACGAAGTATCATTTTCTAAGAAATCAAGTGCAAAAAGGAGTGTTAGACGTTCTGCACTGTAGCACTCAGAAGCATCTGGCAGATGTTCTGACGAAGGCAATAAAAACAGACCAATTTCTTTGCTTGAGAGATAAAATTGGTGTTGTTAATTTCTGATAGTTACTAAATTACGGAATGGTATTAGAGGGTAATTTAGTATTTGCCATTTGTGGATATTCTCTTTGGGGTCTATGTGGCATTCTTATCTTTACTACTTTTGTGTATAAATAGGTGTACTAGATTTCATTTAATACAATCAATTCTCTTCCAATCATTTGTGGCAGCTTTATAGCATTTAATCTTTTCTCTCTTCTTCCTCAATTTCATCACCTTGCACCAACAAATGGTTCGTTCAATTGAAGCTGCCCTTTTCACATTCTCAAGATCATATACTGCATGTGCATTAACACTTGAATGAGTGATAAGTGTCATAATATCATTATTTTCAGTTACATTTTGTGACACTTTTCTGTTTTAGTCTTTTGGTTTTTATAGTAAAATCTCGATTTTTGTGAACATAATAGTATAATCGTGTTTTTATGTAAATATTGTATCGTTTGATTGTTTTTTCCTATTTTTTGTAGGTAGTTATTTATGTTTGAAGCGTTGAGTAATAAGTGACAGAGACAAAAGCTTCAAAATATAAATTTGAAGGAATAAAAGGCTAAGGCTCAAAGCAAGAGAGTCAAAGAATAAAGAAGCTTTGTCCTAGCAAATTCGTCGGGCGAGCAGGCGACGAGCGAGGAAGCGGGTTGTTCGTCGGTCGAGCGTGACGCGAGGCAGAGGCGAGAAGAAAATATCAAAATCCAGTAGTTGCTGACTTGGGCTCGCAAGTTGTTCGTTGGGTGAGACTTTATTTTGTCGTGCGAAAGTAGATATTTTTGTCAGTTGTGTGTTTTGCGCAGGCTGTTTTAGGAATAAAAGGACAATTCATTGGGCGGGTGATTGGAGCGTCGGACGAATTTGTTTGAGACAAATTTTGCATTTATAGCTTTAGAACATAATTTTAGGGTTATGGTTTTGAGGAATATTTGTCCCAACCCCATCACTTTCATTCTTTTGATGACTGAGCTTAGAAAATAACATTTGGAGGTTGTAATCAGATGATCCAGGATCGAAGCTTCTTTGAACATGATTGACACCGCGATAGATTTTGTTTATTCTTCGTTCTTCTCTTTGTAAGCTTCATTGTTCGAATTTGTTTGTAAGTATACTTTGTTTTGTATGTATATTTATTGCTCATGGTATTGTATAAAAACTATTTTACAAATCAATATTGATGTTTATCCTTGTGAGGTTGCTTAAGGTTTGGATTTGAGTTCCTATAGACAAATGCGGTTCAAATATGAATTTAGGATGAATATCTGTTAGGTTCTAAACTCTAGAGATAGATTTAGAATTAATGATCACTTTAGGTATCGACTCTTAATGCCTCTGTGTTGTTTAAGTTGAACGAGACATCGTCAACGAAATCAAAACAGTTGATATATCACTTTGCGTTAGAAATAACATTTGTGGGAGATACGTGATGATATTGTCGAGTATTTTAGGTTGAGTGCAATTGAGTAATAAGTTTAAGTATTTAATAAGAAAGATGAAATCCAAACTCAGACGAGTTCGCTCATATCTTAGAATGTATTTATTTTCTATTAATATATTTTGATTTTCACACTTTACGCTTTTAAACTATTTTAAACCAAACTCAAAAACGTAGAGACTATTGAACGATATCCTTTCCCTCGCACTAATTCCTGTAGAGACGATAAAATTAAAAATATTTACTTTTATTTACTGCAACAATATTCTTTATCATGTTTTTTCATAAACCCGTGAATAAAGGTCTAATAAACAGTTTATCCCCACTATAATCGGACTATTTTGTTCAGGATTGATAAATTCAACTTTTTTATTAGTGGTTTAATATGAGGAAAAATATATATTTTATTGCAATGCAAAAACTAAGAGGAGTGCTTTGAAAATTAGGAGCACCTTACTATTGTAAAGCTCTTAATCCATGATAAGTTAATGCATACGATATTGGACGGTAAGCATAAATGTTAATTTTTCTCCATACAATTATGCAAGTCGTTCTAAGAGGGTTCTTCCTAAGCCTTTTTCTTCTCAGCTTCAACACTTTGAATGGTAATTTCAAAGTACACACGAGTTCTCCCTGCAGAGAATTAGTTTCAACATTCATATTGTTTTCATACAAATATTATAATCAAAAGCATCCAAATGAAATATAAAATTAAAGATTGATAGGATACAACACAGAAAAAACAAAAGATTCATCCAAGCCAAACATAGTATACTAAAGACTTCCAGAATTACCTGAACCTTTACCAAAGAACTACTTGAACCTTTCAACACAAATTTGAGTCAAAGCTATAGGGATGTGCATAAAGTCCGGAGCTTTCACCACATATTTGGACGGTTGAAATTGTTGAACCTTGAACTGGCCTTTACCACGGTTCAGCTATTTTTGCAGCTGATCATGGTTTTGTCCTGGTTCGAAAAATTTTAGGCAATTAAACCATACAAAACAAAGGTACAATACAAATCAGCAGAAAGTATGGACTCAACATCAACATAGTGTTTTCCTTAGGTAACAACAAACATCATAAAGTATAAAGCAGTGAACCTGAAACAGAATTAAGTAAAACAACACATCACCACGTTAGAGAACCAACAACGAGTGGAGACGACGCCACATCAAGCAATTCAGGGGCGGAAGTTCTAAAACCTTGAAGATCTTGAACCATAGCTTTGAGAAGATACGAAGCACATCTTTAGGATCGAGTTCGATTGATTTTTCGATTTCAGTTAGGGCTTTGTTAGCGAGGTTGTTGATAGGGGATCTAGGTTTTTTAGGAAGATCTTTGCAAGTATATTACAGTTTGTAAACTGATGTCACAGATCAAAGAATCCCTAACCGGAAGCAGTAAGAAGATGAACAAAGAACAAAGAAAAAGAGGAAGAGGAAGATGAAGCATCGGGGGAGAGAGAAAAGAGGGAAAAAATATGGAGAAGTTTGATAGAAGAGAGAGAAATAATAGTATAAAATGAAGAGGAAGATAAGAAAAAGTGGCACAGACTTGACAGGTTAGGGTATAATAGATTACTGTTGTAGAGATAAAATTTGAAAATAAACCAGATTTGAATATTAAAAGAGCAACCAAAAAAATACAAAATACCATAGTAAATTGGTTGGAAATGAACCACATAATACATATTTAGTTGAAAAAAAGGTAATTTTTGAATATCAAATGCCTTTGTTTTAAACACATGACAGACATCAAGACGGGGATAAAATTGATTTGACCAAAACAATTAATCTTATTATATATTGTTAACTTAATACTATTCTTTTTGTCTTTCGTAGCATGACACGTGTATAGTTAGTTAAATTCTATTGTTAGTTAGTTATTATCTGCTGTATATATAGGATTTTGTACATTCTGCACCATTTCCAGAATAGAAAGTTTTATCTCTTTATCTCTCTTTTTTACCTTTATCAAGTACATCATTTTTTTCCTTCTGTTTTTCATGAAACTCGTGCACCATTACTGTAACATTAACATGATATCAGAGCTTCAAAAGTTCTGGTAGCCATTGTATCTTCTTCTTTCTTTCTCTCTGTAATTCGTGTATTATGATTACAGCTTTCTTCTCTTCGCCTCGATCTTCTTGTGGCTCTCTTGAACCCTACAACAATGGCATACCAGAATTATATTGATTTCTCCACGAATTCCACCAACCCATACTATCGTCATTCGAACGAAAATCCAGCTCTTGTTCTTGTTTCTCCATTGCTCGATGACAAGAATTACCATACTTGGTCAAGATCGACGCACATCGCTTTGATTTCCAAGAACAAAGAGAAGTTCATTGATGGAACTCTCACAAAACCTCTGGTAGCAGATCCTCTGTATGCTCAATGGATCCGCTGCAACACCATGGTCCTGGTTGTGCTTCATCGTTCCATTTCAAAGTCCATTACAAAGTCCATTTTATGGATCGATAACGCGGCTAGTGTTTAGAAAAACTTACATAATCGTTTTTCTCGTAGTGATTTATTCTGGATTTCTGACATTCAAGAAGATCTCTACAAGCTCCGTCAAGGTACTCTTGATGTATTTAACTATTTTACTCAGTTGAAAGTTGTAATGCAGTGGGAGAACTAACTTTTTTGGTTTTATCCAAATGTGCGGATAGCTAGAGTCGCCACCGACTTTTCTTTTATCCAATATTTAGGAAAGGTGAAAAGAACAAGAAAGACCTTTGATAGATTTTGAGTTCGGGGGGTAAATTATGAAAAGGGAAGGTGTTAGCACCATTTTCATCTGTAGTTATCTACGGGCTTTTAATTTCTTAGCTCACTTTGAAAACTTGCTTTGTGTATGTGATTTGTTTGAAAATATTTTGAAATCGCCAATGTAAGACTGACTTTGTAATGATTTTTGTATCAGACCTCAAGAATGCGTATAAAGTATTTTGAAAATATTTGTTTGAAAGTGATGTGTGAAAAAATGTTTTAAGAAAAGTGGTGAGCAAGCAATTAGGAGTTTCTTATCCACTAAAGTTTTTCTTATTCTTTTCCTTCTTCTTTAGAAGATAGTACTATTCGTATCATTAGTTGGTAAGTAGATCTATCTATTGGATGTGAAGGGACTGGCGTAGGATCATTGTATGGTCATCGAAGGCAACATGTAAGGATACTTTAGCAATTGTATCGAAGAGACTATCATCATTTTGTTCGTAGGGTCATCGAAGAGACTAGATTATTTTGTAGGTAACTCAAAGGATCATCGAGAGATTATGATCTTTATTCGAAAAGGATATGATGATTTGATCGAGGGTCTTTTGCTAAAGTATCCCCCACTTTTCAAAGGACGTAACCAAGTATCGTAAGACAAAAATAAAGGATACCCTTGAGATGCAAGTGTGCCAAGTGTTTGTTTTCAGTTATATTATCTGGAATTAGGATTTTTTAGATTTGTTTTTAATCTTTCCATACAGACCCTAGTTACTAATCATAGCATAAAAATATAAGTGGGAGAATATAAATGTCCTACGCTATTACATCCTCGGAGCAGATACATAATAAGAAAGAGATGCGGAAAATAAATCTACGCTATTATAATTGATAGTGCGACCTATACAATTTGTCTAAGAAAATTAAATAGCAAAGAAATAAGAAAATGTTTTCTTTTTTAAAATCTTTAAAAGACCTAAAGTTCTAGGTATTAGTATTTTTTATGTTTTTATAAAAAATAATTTACGTGATAATAATTAATAAAAACCTAAATTCTAATTGATTTTAATATTTAATAAAAAAGGTGTAGTTAATTAATTAATTAATTAATTAGTAAAAATAAAAATATATAAGAAAAAATAGTTACTAACTAAAACCCTAATCCTAATTTATTAGTATTAAGAAAATATTAGGTTAGTTAATGGTTGATTAATTAAAAATAATTAGGATTAGAAAAGAAAAAGGAACTGATCAATATATTAAAAGATGCAGGGATCGAAACCACGCCTTTCACATTACACGCATTTGTCTCAACCAACTGTGTTGCGCTTCAATTCTATTAACATAATAGAAACAAACAAATATATAACAAACAAGTGAACTGGGAAGCGTCGGAGCCCTAGCTCCGCTCGTCTTCTCCAGCGAGGTCGTTTTCAAACCTGCAAAAATAACATGCGTTAGAGATTAAGAGGGACCTTATCCCCCTAATTTGGACCTCCTGAATCCAATTATGATATTGTTTTGGTATGAAACTGATTGTATCGTGAGTTTTGAAACAAAACTCGGATTATGTCTTAATAATGGTATCTCCTTATTCTTGTGTTATAGCTTGCAAACAATGGATCAAAACAACTCTAAACATCATCATGAACAGGTATACATGCATCAAATTAACTGAATATGAATAGAAGTTACCAAACCGGTATACTTGGATGTAGTTGTTTTACGTGCTTCAGGTTTCAAGGATGGTTGGGATGGACTCTTGGGATCTTTAGGAAGATGATGGAGTGCTTGGAATGCTTTGAAAGTGGTTGCACACAAGATTTTGACTTTGCCCTAGTTTTGACAAATTTTAGAATTTTTGAAAGTGCGTTCTTGAGGCCAATTCATTTTTTTTATAGTCTGAATATATTTTATATTTATAGGCCATGAATTAGGTCAACACACATGAATCAAATCTTTGTATTTCATGACAAAATATTTGATTGGAATTTTTGCATGAAATTTTTCTTTTTTAAGTCAATCATGTACCAATCAACACCACATGTTTTTGCTAGTTGGTTATCTGATTTTTAGCCTTATGATTTGATTCAAAAATAGATCCATGTGCCTTATATCTTTGATTTCGTATTTTATTTGATTTATTTTGCTTTTAATTGAATAAAATCAAAATAAAAAGAAATAAAAACCACAAAAATAAGTGAATGGATTTAAGAGTCTATTATGAGGTCAGGAACATGTTTGGACGTTATAAGATAAGCCTATTAGCCCAAAAATTCAAATTTTCTCAATTTGAGTTTCATACATTTCCTAAAAATTGCCCAACTTGCACCCATCATAATTGACTCAAATTTTGTCATATGAAGGTGATCTTTTACTTTTTGGAAAGCTCAAGATGTTTCCTATAACTTTCATGTTTTTCATTTTTTCCTTTGAAGCCTTTATCTTGCTCTAAAGTTCTTTGACAAAAAATGTCTTTTTGTTGACTTTTAAAATGACCTGTAATATTTTGGTCCATATCTCTCAAATGAAACATTTTTTGGCCTTGAACTTAGAGAGACAAAGTTTAGAGAATTGAATTTAATTCAAGTTAGGCTTTGGTTGAGGGATTTCTGATGAAGTGTGTGAAAGTTATGCTTGGTCAAAGTTCATTTGACTTCTCCTTAAGAAAACCCTAATTTAGTAACTTTTGACTTTTGATGAATCTTGAGTTTTCTTGATGAATCATGATTAACCCTTGATCAAATGACGAATGTGACTTCAAAATGTTGATGTTGACCAAAAAACTTGAAGTTTGACTGTAAATTGGTCAAAGTTGACTTTTTATCTAATACAGTTGATTTTCAATCATCTGGCTAGTTGACTGAGCAAACTTGTGTTGTAAGGCTTGGAATTTGGTATGAGGATTCTTTGAAGCATATGAGAAACCATGAAGTCCACTTGAGGCATTAGAAGTCCAATTTTCCTTGAGAAAAACAAAACCCTAGTTGTAGGTCAATGCTTAGGAGGAGAGTTTGTCTGGTCAACCTTTGAGTAGTCTTGGGCAATTGAGAACCCTATGAGCATGAAGAGGTATCTTGAATCAATTTGTCTTGAAAATGGGAGGGAAACTTTTGGGGTAAAACAGCTCCCCCTGTTCAATCTTCTTAAACCTGAGGAATTAGATTGGCATGCTCGCCATTCGTGATTTGAAGGTGGAAGAGGATTCAACACCTAAGTGCCCAGAAATTTGCACTCACATGTGCACGAAGTAACACTGTTGGTTGATTATATTGCTTGAAAGAGCTTAAATATGCTTTTCAAATAGGTGATAGAGTGTCCTCGGAGATGGGCTTATAAATGCCATCCAAAGTAACTGTTGATAGGAGTATCAAAATGAGTCTACGCTTGTCTTTATCTGAAGAATGCTTTTTAGAATGAAACTCTGAAGGAAATGCTTTTAAAAATGAATCTCTGAAGGAAATGCTTTTCAGAATGAAGCTTTGAAAGAAATGCTTTTCATAATGAATCTCTGAAGGAAATGCTTTTCAAA